GACCTTGCTTGCTCCATCCCCTTCCAAACACCGAGAGAGGGGCGCAAGGTGATTTCTACGACTTTAACGCAATAAAATATACTATACCAACACAATATTGGTAGCAGCACGTATAAAGTAACCTATTTCACTCCATAGTATTATACTTGCCGCTGCTCATTGAGGGAGTTATATTAACCGACCGTTTTCAATGGCATATTGACTACGACGAGGTTTTTAACAACTCGCGTTATCTCATTCTGTCAGGGTTGTGCGAGGGTCAGCTATAATCTAACCAAATCAGATATGCATGCGCAAGCTGTTTGATGTACGTGAATGCCGTCCTTTTAATTTGGTTGGATCATATTAATTTCGGGGTAGTGATTTCAACGCTATTTAGGCTGGGCGAGACAACCCCCAACATTTTTGATGAACGTTGATTATAATGTGGATTTCTTTTTAATATTAAATCTAGCTTTTCAGGACGTTTTATCAACACATGTTACATTATGTCTACGATATTAACATTTTAATAAACAACATCTTCTTTTCAATGTAATACTTAGATTAAAATCTGTTTACATAAAACCGCTTTTATATTAAATGCTCTTTTTGATCTCATATTTCGTGTCTTATCAAAAGTAGTAGCGGGTAATTTTCAAGTAATTAACTTGCTGAGCGTTCAATCAAATTTAATAGTATGCCGTCTCACAGAACAAATGGATGAAAATGACAAAAGTTCGTAGGGCAAGACGAGGCGTTGTGTTGCGTAAATAGGTACCGTTTAATTTGACATCTATTTATAGCCTGATACGACCATTTTTTGATGATATAACACAAAAAGTTAGGATTCCTTATTTGATGTTAGCAATACGCAATATATTATCTTGTGGAGTTTCTTTATTCCCTTCTTATTCTCAACTGAAAGTTCTGCACAGCTGTTATAAAACTGTTTTCCTATTGTATAGATTATACGTTATACGTATTGTGACCAATTATATGTATATATATATTGATTTCATTATTGAAAATATGAATGGAAATTTCAGGCATCATTTCTCCAACTTGGTTATAAATGACATATAATTTTTTATGCCAATTAGAATATTTAGATCAACTTGAATTTTATCCTTTTTTAAATCCAATGTTCACTTTGGATACATATTTAGCATTCCATACATTATTTATGGCATCAAATTTACAGGAAGCTTTTAAAGTTGACGAGACAGCGCCTTAAGTAGTTGTCACATCCGATTGCTACATAATTTCTCAATTTTAAAGACCTGCCGCAACTTTACATGTTATTTATAACTTGAAAACAGCGGAGTTCAGCTATTTGAGGATTCGTAATTTCTTTACGTCACAAAAAGAGACAATTTTTCTTTGGCCGACTCTTATTATCAACTTCATTTTTGTGAATCTAAGTTCGGAGAATATTGGAGCGAGGCGGCCGTTAGACCTTCACCTTTTGATTGATGTCCTTAGAGCTCCACAGTCAATTGTAAATCAATTATAAACTTGAACATTTTAATGAAACCGCAAACCTTATCTTTCTCTTTGGAGAATTTGCGTCGAAAGCTTGATTTAAACTTCAACAATTCAGTTATTGTTACCCTTTAGAAATTATTATCTATCATGAAATTATGAAACTATTAGTCTCCATACTATTCTCAATATTATAAATATGAAAGTATGTCTGTCTCTTACCTCTTCCCGCTTTTACCACTCAACCGGTTTAGATGAAATTTGATATAAAGATAGTTTGAATCCCGGGAAAGAACATACGACAGTTTTTATCTTAGAAATCATCTTTCAAGGTGGTGAGCGGAAGTTTGTGTGGGAAACTTAATGTTTTCCACGCAGACAAAATCGTGGACAACCACTTGTAATGAATAAAAGCTGACTATACATAAATCTAGAAAACCAAAATAGTGGAAGCATTTGATTTGATAGTTTTTCTCTGAATAAAACACCCATCATTATCACGGGTCGGGAATGTGTATACTAGTAAACAGAAGTTTTTGTTGTAATTAGCACTTGGGTACTCTTATCCGTAGTATTACGCAGTTTCACGTCTTTCTCGTAAATAGTCTCCTCATTTATAAACGAAATAGATTGTACGTCTCTGGGGAGTAGGTAATATATTCCATGGAATGCGATGGAACATTCCTTGGAAGTAATAAGTGTTTATTTTATGAACATTAAAAACAAGCTGTTTATCGTTTGTAGTTGTATTTATGAAAAACTAACTATTAAATTAATGAGTGCTTGACCTTAAACTAAGTAAATATAAAAATATACGTAGTCGAATCCCGTCTATTAGCAAAATGAAATAAATCTAAATATTTTGTTAGTCCCGGACTTTATTTTATGAAACTATTTAAATTGAGCCCAAATCCTAATGCGTATTTTCTTTTTTTTAATTACATGTATTTAAGCTATTTTTCGATTACGTGAATTGGTTCCATTTTCAGTGTAATATAGGGTAAATATAGGGATTGTATATGGTTTAATTAATATTTCCTTAGTCATTCTATGTCACCATACGAATTGCTCTCGTGACTAATCGCTCCAGTTGTCTCGATGACGACTCCAGGATAAGATCATGGCGGTGTCGCGTCGCGTCGTGATAGTCTCGCAACGGAAATAGACCGGTCGTCAGTGCATCCTCACCGAATGGTATGTGACGTGTGTTCCGCATTAGTCCTGTTTCTTACACGGCTCGCTGTTGAATTATATCGAGATTGTTGGCGAATATTCCTGATTGAACTTAAATAGTCGGCAGATACGCATTGACCAATGTTTATCACTTAGATGATTTCACAGTTGCGTGTGAATGGAATACCATCTTAAATTTTTAGTGGTTGATATTGATACATACGTGTTATATCAAAAGTTGCTCAGTGGATCGCCAAATCGAATCAAAGGTGCGACACGAGTATTAGTAAATAAATATCGATACCCCATACCTTCAAACACTCATCGCAAATATTCCACATGTTGTATAGAATCGTTAATAAGACTTCCAGCTTAAGTAGCTAGTTTTTCTTTCGCCTGTAACGTATCATGAACATTTCAGGCTCTATCATTACTATAGGTATTGCCTTTGCATTAGCTTATCCACTCCGCGAGTGGCCATTCAATTATGCGTACTCTGTATTAATTACTGCGACTAATTGTCCGTATCCTTACTATTCTAACGGTGCGATGCATAATAGTGCATCCATCGTGTGACTCGTCCGATTCTTGTGGCGCGCGGTCCGGTCAGTACACCCGCGCGCGCCGCACCGACGCCACGCGACGCGACGACGTGCCGCTGTGTCGCCTGCGTCTGTACCGTGCCCACGTGCTGACAACCAAAATAAATAAAGCCGCTCGTGCTTACAAGCGTATGGACAGACGCCTTATAGCGTTCACATCCAACTTCCACTCTATGTAATACATCAGATTTTTAGTGGTTACTTCGAAATTCTGTGGTGTTAAACAGAACCACGTTAGATATACGTTAGCTAATAATTTATGACACCATAAAGCATAATACAATTAAGTTGAACTACCCAAGCCGTGCAGATATGAGGATACGAATGTAATCAAACGTGAACCGAGACATTAACAAATCAACAGACATCAGCGGAGAGGAGAGGACGTCTCGCGTACTCGTGTGTCGAAATCGATGAAAGGCAAACATGTCGGTCGTTTGATATGCGAAATCAAACCCCCATCTAAACTCCCTCTCGCCCGCGACGGTAATAATAGCGGCCGGCGCGGCGTGTACCCGCACACGTACACACTCACAATGCACCATGCATAAGGCGGATTCCTATTGGGATATTCATAGACGAATCACCGGCATTATTGTGATCAATACATTTGTTGTTTTATTTTTTGCACTTGTTTTAATGCGGAAAATAACTGATTAATTAATGAAATTATGCTATCCACCTCGAAGGACCAAAAAAAATGTTTTGAAGATTATATTCTATATGAATAGTTTAACCTTGTAGATTTGACAAACCATTGTATTATGGTTATAGTTAGTGATACTACGAATTTGCATACGATCACATTTGATACTTTAATGTAACCGAAAAGGATATTTTTTTTATTAACTTATTCAGATCCTTCTTGTTACTGATTTTGTTAAATGAGTAACATCGCAGATTGTTAGTCACAAAATATAATACTTTCATCATTCCATAATTCTTTTCTCTCATAATAATTTAGTGTCGTTTAAATCCATACTTAGTTACCGTGATTGAAGGTTTAGTGTTTAATTAAAAGATTTTTTTATTAAAAAAGTGCATTGTGCATAAATCTTCGTCATAAGTTGGTGGATTCGCAGTTTAATAAATTAATAACATTGTTTGCAGGCGCTATATTTGTGATTAAATAATGTCTTGTTCACTTGATGTTATGGTGTGTTTACATAATCGTGATACAAAAATCTGTTTACTGAATCATAGGGCACCATAAAATAAGTTGATGAGTAATATAATTCCAAGAACGGGAGTTACGGTCGACGCAATTCCTGCACTATAAAAAAGCACTTAATTAAAAAGTCACGACCACCATCATAGTCATACATGGCTTAGGTAGAGCTACATTATAATATGTATAAACGAAGACGCGTTTCGATGTTTAGAAAAAAACTTTCCATCGACAAAGTTATAGCGTTGCGTCACACACAATGGGGAACTCGAGAATAACCCGCGTGAGCTTTGCATTCAAAGTTGAGCGATCGGTCTAGAGATTAATCGAGTGACTTGTCCGTGAATAGAGGGGAAGTTGGACTCCTTTGTCACCACCTGTCCGTGTACGTACAGCGGTAATAGTTATCGGAAGACATACGGTAGGCAGTCTCGAGCGGGGAGCGACCGCGGCGCGAACGCATCTGTCCCCGGTTACGCGCCAAAACAGAACATGTGCGTTCCGTTCGACTCAGAATTTCGAACATGTGCAGTGTGTCGACGGAGACTGTGATGAAATCTGTGCTGTGTTAGCTAGTGATGTGAATAGTGATCATGCTGGGTTTGCTCACGTCGGATTTCGGTTACCAGAACCGATTGACGCTACTGCAGCAGTTGATCGAGTGCGGCGATGTTTTGCTGGAACGAGAGTTGGTCTGCGATTACGGTAACGATTGGATTTCGTTAATCGATAATACCTATCTATAAATTGCTGTAAATGAAAATTTGATCCATTATTAATTTAAAATGGAACTCATAATGAACTGTCGTAAATGAATCCTATGTTAAAAAAAAAATCTTAACTAAGCTGTAGTAGTGTAGTGTAGCTAAATCATTACCAACTCAAATTATAAAACAGTATGTGTTCCGATATAAAGACAATCTTCTTAAAGACCAGTAGTCCTTAGGATAGCGATAAATATTTCGTCTGGATCCTTAAAGTAATAAATGAAATGGGTAAAGGTAGAACAGCAACAACGAAGGAGCAAAATCGATTTTCCCCGAATTTCATCTTCTTAATTTATAATGCCTTAGTTTCAGAGTAAATTTTCACATGAAATCTTCGAAATGTGTAACCTCAGAAAATGTACAAGGTTACGTTTTCTTTGTTTAATCATGGAGCCGCATCAAGAGGTATAGTTGCCACTTGACAACGGAGATCATTTCACAGAACCTAAGTTTTTGTATTAAAGCCTATTTAAACAATCCATTTCCAAGATGGTGTCGTTGTATTTGTAATAAGCAATAAAAGTTGGCGTGTTAATGTTAAACCAAGGTGCTTACTATGTAAACCGTACTCGTAATTTTGTTTAACGACTTAATATAGTGCAACACGTCATATCTTTTCGCAGCGGTTTGCTGTTACTATACATCATCGACATAAGAATTAGCGTTTACAACGCATCTGCCTTCGTACACACACCTTAGCGGTTCACATAAAGAATATCGCTCTCTTTGCTATGTAATAAAGACGCCCACAGTATGAACTAAATAAAAAAAATGCTTTGATTGTACAACTTGTGTGATGTAGACATAAGTATGTTTAATAAAGTAATAATTAACATTAAGATAATTAAATTAATATTTCAACAGCTGAAGTTAATATTATAGTTAGTATTAACTTTGGCTGTTGAAATAATAATGGTCCTACTACATGGTTGTAGTAGGATTTCATTTGGAAAAAGATGATTTCTAAACACAAAAACTGTTAAGCTTATAATATTACCTAATATTTTACCGCAATAAACTTTCAACAACACTTATAAAGGTGATTACCTCAATTACTTTGACGCTCTTTCATCCTAAATTTGACAGACAAGATTGTAAGAATTTTTATTCAATACGCGCCATTGTAGCATGCGCAAGCGCGTAAATATCGGCTGGTAGGTTGTCTCGAGCCGACACACATGCGTACGCGCATACGTAGATAACATCGGGACGTTCTCAATTTACAGGCTCACTGTTCGCGACCGACGTAACTAATGGTCTCATTGACATCACCTCGTTCAACGGATAAATAAACGTTTACAATATCATAATTGCCGCTAATGACTATCTGATTTGCACTATTAAAATCAGAACCATGATTAAAATTCAAGATCATAAGTCATAACTGATTTGCCGTTTTCCTCTCAAACTTACCTTAACTTACTTAGAAAATCACAGCCAATTAAAACTTATGACGTTCCAATGCTAAGATTTCCGGACATCTTCACTTCATCTTTATATGAAAAAGGGTAAAATTTTGCGCATATACAGGCTATTTATACTGCTATATCCCTCATATTAGAGTTAATTTAGACAGATAGCTCTATTGCCCGAGCCAGAAGTCTGTGTCAGAGGACACGATCGTTGTCTAAGCATTCTGCGCTCAATCTGACGAGCTCCCTTCGTTATTAGGTTTGTTTAGTCCAGGTTGTTGGTGGTCATTATATAACATTTTCTTCGAAGATCTAAGTAATGGCTACTTTGTCCTTCTTAAAGAAATATTCGGTCTTCTCCGTTCGCTGCATGCGGCATTGGCCACTGACTACCAACTTAAAAACTTTTCACGTCAAAAACTTCACTGTTTTATGCTACGATTTCTCGTTCAAACCGGCTGAACTGTTTAGACAGCTTGATGTCCTAGAATTGAATAAAACTCATCTTTATGTTTGTCTGAAACAATAGGTACTTTCGTCATTCCTAAGGAATATGCTGTTAATGTAAAGAATAAGTTATATAATCAACATAAATGTGTTTGTAAATCGCATCGTAGTATCATATGGTTTCACAAACAATAATACCCGTTTCCAAAATAGACCTTTACAATATCTTTATTAGAAAACTAACTTATGTAATTCTTTCTTGGTGTTAAATTTAACATTCTTTTAATTTATAATTAAACGTGCAGTAAGTATTCTGCGAAAAACTAAAAATGTTCCACTACCTATTGTATAAATACCCCTATTTAAGAATTAGCCTTGCTTCTTTCTTTAAATTTTTTCGTATCCTTTATTTTGTTTAGCGAAATTTGGAAACAAACACTGTTTCCAAATCATTTACAAAGAACGGCCTATTGAGGACTTTATACGATTTCATGTTTGTAATTGTTGTATAATGTAAAAAAGGTCTCTATTTTTTTTCGGTTACTTCTCAACCCTTTGCACAATATAAGCCGGCAGTTACTGTGGAAAAGTTTTGTATATAACCATAAACAGCTGGAGACCGGCGACACAATAACTTGTATAAAATTGTCCCTAAGTGTTTTCGGAAATACAAAATATATTGAGAATATTGTCCGTAACTTTTTAAGTATTGCACAAATAGAATCTTATTTCTAAAGTTTCCTTATTCAGATACCCCAAAATGATTTCGATAGAAATATGCATTCAGTTTAATTTTCATTTGTTCTCTTTTCTTCTTATTATTATTATTGGTTTTATTACTACTTATGCTTTCATTTTTATATTATAAAATCTGTGGTCGTTTAATATTATTGTGGAAGTAAAGTTCGGGGAATCAGAAAATTCGTCAAATTTATGCAGCATGATTCAGAGTATCTACGGAAACTTAATAACACCCCCGTTAAAATAAAAGTTACTCCTCTGTAATTGTTCATTACGATTGCATTGTACTTTTCCATAATGATTGGACGGTCGCTTCCCATACACCAGTGCGACAGATACTTTGTAACCTGTGTTCGGTATATTTATAATGAGCGTGTCCGTTCGAACATTATGTGTCACATCGTTGTACTTGCAAGCGGCATCTTTCTCGGGGTTTTCTAGGGTTTGCTGTGAAACATAAAATTATGACAAACATTTGCTCTATTTATTTTTACTGCTCCTAAGTTAAATTACACAAAATAGTATCAGCAGTAACTGTATTTAAGGTCGTTGTCAATACATACTTGGGTATGAAGTTTGATAAAGGTACCTTTAAATTTACCTCTCTGATCTTGGATTTGAAAGCCTATCCAGTCCAGGGACTTAAAGAGGGATCACCGATGGTTATCAAAGTATATATAGGTTTCCTGCTTAAATCTCTCTTTTTACGGTTCTGAGTTTTTTGCAATATAAGATTTGTTTCTTTCTAGTATTTATAATTCTTTTCAACTATAATGTACTATAAAATTTATTTGGCATTTGTAAGTGAATCAAAGCAAAATTTTATCCAAACTAGTGCCATTACAGGTAAAATCTTGTTGCTTAGCTAGTATGGTCGTAAATGGGCGTGGTTATAAATAAAATTATTCTCACTGCTGACCCCATGTATAAAAAGACAAATGAGTAAGTGTGATGAAGTGCAGCAAACAGCTTTATAATCACGCACTAGTGAGGCGGACGGTGTGAAGAATTCGTAAACAGGCCGCTAAGGCAAGCGTAATGTAATAGTTTTCACCTAACACATTAATGCCCTCTCGAAACGGAATATTACAAGCATTCCAAACGACTCACGACCACTGAGAACTGGCTGTGTAAGGCACATTGTGTACGAACAACTCTTTCGACGCGTTTGATTATATTCTTTGAGAAGGTATGAATAAAAGAATCGAAACGGGACAACGGGAAACACGAGCGCGTCATTGATCTTAGAAATAAACCGATTTCTTTAAAGGCCTTTAATACCAAAAAGTCACTGAGTGCTGTATAAAATTACGCAAATAGTAGAGTCGATGTGCCTGCTTTCGGTAATTGTATCTTTTGATGTGTATTTTCGTAATTATAAGTACTCCTTTAATTTGTCTATTTGAACTCAGTACTGCACAATAATCAAAATGTTCTTAACTCAAGGTAAGTACCTAACTGGTATCTAAAAATCCATAAGGGTTAACCAAAACCGAGTGAAGATGTAGTTTTCACTTGTTTTTATTTTTACCACTTCATCTTTGACGACATCCTGTATTTTATCGGACAATTAGTCGAATAAATCTCCCTTCAGATGCACCGCCTCGTTTGATGACAAAAAATCTTCTTTAGTCCTTTTCTATGATTTTCTCAAGTTGTAAGTGTCACATTTTGTGTGTGAAACGCTGAAAGCGTTTAATGCAGTAATTTCTAGCAGGAAAGCGAGTTATTGTTTCCTAACGGCTGCGATACGTACTACCTACTTTATCTACGTTATGGTCACGTTTGTGACCCACGTGAAATGCTCAGAAAATACAAAACAACCTTCACCAACGCCCGTCAGCTGGTTATGTTCATTATTTATTTACATTTTTTACTATTGAAACAGTTCATCGTGACGCGCATGGATACTATCATTGACACTTGCATCTATAATTTTATTGTGAATACATTTTCGCAAACTAGACTATTTGCTATTTATTGTTATGTTCTAAGTTTTTTTTAGCTTAAAGATATATGCTATTAACATTTTAGATTCAGTTTCAAGTTAAACTTTGTAATTCTTTACCGAAAAAACAAACGACAGTAATCATCCTGTTAAGAAGCAATGAAATGTAATGAATTATATATGGATTGGATAGATTATGCGTTTTAAAAGCAAACACATTATATATTTAATAATATCTAAAAATAAAGTTGAAGGATTACATAAATACGTAAAATTTCCTGCTTCTCTGGTATGAATATGTTGACAATATCTATAAGAAATAACTTTTCGGATACCAGTTGACGTGCAAATTACATTTTTAAAGTATCACGCCTGCATAATCGTCTAGCTAGTAGTATTTTAACAATCGCTTACGAATTCATGGCTTAATTCAGTTCAGAAGGAAAACAATCGCGTCTTCCATAATTTTTCCAACTTCATTTACATCTAAAACAATATCTCCTATCGCGTCTTTATTGGTTTCCTTTACAGTGCTGTCGATGGAATGGGTTCTATCTAGCTGGACTTATAATTATATTAATCTCCTGGTCGTTCCCGGCAGTCGTCAGGCGATTGAATCACATGAGTAAAGAAGGCGCAGAGGTAAAGCTTTATTCAGTTCTCGTGTGTGAGAAAATATCCTTTCTACATTCGCTGAAGAATATGTAAGGATAATAAAATACGTTGTTATGTTTTGACATAACAGCGTATTTTAATAACATAACAACGTTAAGGGCCTTAACGTTAACAAACAAGGATTTATCCGGCCCTTAAGGTTTAGCAGTAGATTATGCCTTTATTAAATTAAATAATAGACTTATCGGTAGATTGTTTAAAAAATCGGTTAAAATATGGATTTTTCAGTAGCATTGGCAACACTGGACATTGTGAATGAGCACTGGTGGCTTGTCACCACCAGTAACAACGTTTCTCTGCGTACCCGACAGGCGCCAGTGTTCAAGCTTACTCTCTGTGCCTTCTTTACTCATGTGATTGAATACCGGCATCGGCACGGCACCGGCACCGAGCGATCGTGGGAAAGTAAACATCTTCTCGTGCCTCCTAAACTTGGACTACCTTTGTTTTGTCGGCTCAGTAATATATGATACTGTTTAATGTATCTTATATTTACCAATCTGAAGTTGCGATGGATGGTACTTTTGCTCCTTCGTTAAATAAAGTGTGTTATTTACGTATCTTGCTGCTTACTTATTGTGAAACGAGTATGAGCTTTGTATGTCAGTTTTTTAAAAGGTGTTCTGCGAAACATCTCTCTCCTACTTGATTTTGAGCGAATGCTCAATTAAGATAAGGCGAAACCGCCTAAATATTTTGGCACATGATACGCTTATGTTCAATCTTTTCATGTGAATCTATTTATTGTATCATTAATTGTGTTGTGAATACACGTATGTTGTATTGTAGCCGCCGGGGGCAATGTATGTGGGTCATACGCATCGCAGACACGTCGACCTCTGACCTTATTATTATACGTAGACCAACTTTGAGGTCAGACTATGACGCTGGCTAGACCCAAGCAAATGAATGTGCTATGCTATTATATTCATTCGTATCACACCAGCCCTTTATAAACTTTTTTAACTTGAAGTTTGAAGTAAAGTTTTTAATTCGAGTGGAAATTGGTGGACTTGAGCTTAACTGCACACTTACTATAGTTAGGTAATTTACATAACTTTTGCCTAAGTTTTCATATGTGATTATAAACTAAAATCTTTAATTAACGTATTTCTAACTTTTGTAATAAAGTTTTATCATAGAGCCGAGAGAACCTTTTAGGTATGTCGAAGAATTTTTCCTGTTTTTTTTTCTTATAACGAGTAGGTATGTTCGCAGTTTTATAAGTGAACTTTGCTATTTTTAGGTGATGAAGCGCCAACTTCTCTGCTTTATATATTTTTCGATTCAGTAAATTCTTGAATTCTCGCATCAATTATTATTAATTCTGATCCAAACTCAATATTTTTTGACCACGAAAAATGGAAAAGAGATTTCAATAATTATTTAAAAAAACTTTGCTGAATGAATATTGTCGTATTAGGGTCACATCTCACTGTGGCTTTCTCATTCAACTCAAATAGATCGTCTAGCTATGTATTATTTGGTACGGTTGATTGGGCCATTAATTTAAATCGCGTTTAAAATCTAGGCTGGGCCCGATTGTCGCCCTTAGTTGGATGCAATCAGCCGAGCGAAGTCTAGCACATTTTGCATTACACCAACCGAACCGTCGCGTCGTCAGCTGCGATCCTACGTTTTAAAGGAGCAT